GTTATTTTCGCAAAAAATTGCATTTGATTTGCATTTTCAATTTTGAGCAAAATATGCACGTAATGAAATATCTTTACGCTGGAATTCATACTGCACTTTGACCTATAAACTGCAAATATGAAAGCAAAAACCTGCAGCATAATACCCCATAAAATATAATCTAAATGGCAGTCTTATGCCTGGCAACTGCTTTGGAATTCTTAATCCAGATGCCATATTGTGCAGCATTCTAAATGAAATTGTAATTGCAGCTAGCGCACACAAGCGTACAAATACGCAAACACAAATACACAGACACAAATACAGAGAGAAAACTGAATTTCTAATTAAGCCAGGCAAACAGTGAAAATGCGAAATGAAATGGAAATGAGCATGAAAATCACAGCAAAGATGCAGTTGAAAATATGCGTAGGTCGCCGCTGTAGTTGTTGTTGTTGTTGCTGCTGCTGATGATGATGATAATGATGATGCTGCTGATGATGATGAATGAGCAGCTAAAGCAATATATCTTATCTATAATAGATGTCAGCCGGGAACTATCAAAAGAATTGCCTAAATGCTTGCCCAAATAAGTAGGCAACATTTCTTGCGCTTTCATTTACGCAAATGCTAATGCAGAGACAAAATTTATACATGTATGCATGCAACTATATAAATATGCAATTACATCCATTCATATATATGTGTAATTACAGCCATATTTATAGCTCGAACTTAATTTAAGTGGCAGGAATTGGGTAGACTGCTTACAGGCAGAGGAAAGCTTTTCTGAGTATATAAAATGTTAATATCGTTTTTTGATCTTAATCAAGAGGACAAGCTGAGTCGATTAAGCCATGGCCAACTGACTGTCCATCTATATGAATATATTAATCTAACAATATATGTAAGCTATAGACTTGAAATTTGCGCAAAGCAAGTTTAACGCGGCTTTTCGATATCCCCCCCAATTTTGTAATATCTAAGCAAAGCTCGAACATGGTATACACTCATTAAGAAGATTACACTTTTTGGTTGCCTAGCCGCATTCCCCCAAAAATGGAAAAAAATCTCATTTGTAAAGAACGAGCTTTGCGCTTTGATATAAACACACAATTGGGTGTCATATTCAATCAGTAGGCACTAGAATTGTATAATGAAGATTGAAGAGTGGCCATAGAGTGTGATTGGTAGAACAAGTATAATTGTGTGTGTGTGTGTGTGTGTAGGGATCTAAAATGGTGCTGATGCTGGGCTTAGGGTATCAAGCAGTCGAGCACTTGCGACCAGAGACCGCTTGTTTATGTACATATTTATATAAACCTTATACACATGCCATGTACTTTGGGGCTCCAATTAATGTGCGCACACACGCACAGTCGCATTTGTGTGTGCGTGTTGTCAGAGTTCGTAATTTGAATGCGGGTGGGTTTATTGCGGTTGCTAGAGCTGTTGATAGCATTGGGCAGCGAAAACTCATTTGGCAAACGTACAGCATAAACAGTGTCGCAGACATTAGCGATAAAAACAGCAGCAACAACAACAACAACAACAACAACAGCAACAACAACAACAACAACAACAACGACAACGACAACAAAAACCAATAACAGAGAGCAACAGTTGTCCCGGACGCGGGACCCGCACACAGTTCCGGAGCACGGCCTTGGGTCCACGCCTGCGCCAGTTTGTGCCTAATTAAGTGTTTATCTTAATTCTATAAAAATAGTTGGCAGTTTGATAAAACTCACGGGCACATAGCACAAGCAAATTAACAGCCAATGTTATTCGCCAGTACTGAATGTGTATAACAAACATATCTAGATACAAATCCAGACATCTATATATACGTTACGTTATTATATTACATTATTGTATATTACATTATCATACACACTGCACTAAAGAGTCTAAAAATCATTACGAATTGCTGATAGAATCGTGGCTTGGCCAACATCTGTTGTTATTAGTTAAACACATTGTTTTGTTATTTATTATTCTGTTTAAAGGGCAATAAATAGAGGGACAGAGGGACAACTGCTGTACAATATTAAATTTATTATTATTTTCAAAAGAACAAATTTTATTAAAATATTTTTTGTTTTAACCCAACAAAGTGGGGCTAGTATTAGCTGCAGTTATTCCCTAATCTGTTGATAATATTTCAACCCATTTTTATAATTTATTATTATTTTAAAAAGACAAAAAAGAGAAGCTAATTGAAGTTAAGACAACTTCTCTTGTTGTCATTTAAACACTTTAATTGTTTTGTTTTGTATTACTCTTAATAGACAAAAAAAGGGGAGTTCAAATCAGCTTTTGAATATTAGGCGGAGCTAACTAAATTCGAACTTAACTAATTTTATTGCTTAAAATAAGTTCTCATTAGTCATAGAAAATATGCCTAAGTTATACTCTTAAAAATATTGAATTATTTAATGGGGGGCTCGAACCCTAGACTTTGGTCAAGAGACTTTGAAGGCGCTTAAAAAATCAGAGCTTCAATTTATATTTGATTTTTACTTACCCACAATTTGATGTCATCTGCTAATTGTTCAGCTGTTCGCCCAGTGAAACGTTATTTGCCTGCGCAGCTGGCAAGGTCTGTGAGTCGGGTCATGACATTCAAGGGTCAAATCATTTGCGACGACAATGCGCAGCAGCCCAAAATAAAACGCCGAAGCAGCCGACTGTTCCCTGCTGCTGGCTACACAAACAAAAAAAAAGAGAAAAAAATAAAAATTAATAAAAAAAAAAAAAACAAAATGAAAAATGGAAAATAGCGCTAACGCGCATTAATATAGAAATATGCGGGTTTATTTTTAAATTTTGGCATGCTCGTGTCCGTGCGCCAATTAAATTGCTCGCCACAGGCTCGCAAATGCGGTTGAGCCATTTGAGCCATTAATTTGCCATTTTGTGCGGTGGCCTAATGAATTTACGATGACTACTAGTTAAATTGATATTTGGCTCGATTTGCAATTAAAATGCGCAGATTCTGGACTCTTCAGAGCTGGCCTACAAATTGAAGTTTGTGTTGCTTTTATGTGAACAGATTGTTGAACTTAAGAGCTTGCCTTCACGTTTTCGACATACGCACCGTGCAGTCCATTGGGATTGGGCTTGGACTTGGGCCTGGCAGTGTCGCCCCTAGTCCAAGGGCCAGGCGAAGGCTCGTGCGAATGTCGTCATAAAAAGATGTGCACATGACATTCGGCTACCCAACAATTATCTGTTTGTTATTTACATTCATTTGATGCGCAAACAGTGGGCAAATAAACAAATAAAAACAAACCACAAGAAAAGAAAATAAAAAAAAGCAAACACAAGCAATGCCAACTGTAGCAAAAGTTGATCTTTGACCCGACTCTAAACATCGTACGCATTTGTCAATGTGACAATGTTTGCCTCTAACTAAAAATAAGTTTATTAAAACTTTGTCCTTTGGTGTCCTTCATTTAAATACTAATTACGCGTGATAGAAATTGTTGCAAATGTGTTTGGTGCAACAAAAGAGCAGCAATTAAATAACCACCCACGCACTTCCATTCTCGCCCTTCGTTTCTTTTATGATGGAATGACGCCAGCCAGCCAGTTAGCAGCATGTTGCACTCATGGCATTCGTGTACGCATTTCATTTCAGCATGTGGCACGGACTGGACTGCCCTGTCCTGCCCTCTCCTGTCCTGTCCCTGCGCCATTGCATACCAGACAGGGTATTGTCGCCAGACCGGCACATAATAGCCGCAACACCCTGCTGGCAGTGTCCCACTGGCTTCCCAACGTATGGCTGCCCCTAGACGCAGCTTTAACTGTGTACTTGTGGCAGTTGCAAGCTGTCTGTGCTGTCCGCTTAATAAGTGCGAAATGTTTCGCAAATATATGCATAAGCATGCTGCGTATCGTTTGTTCTGGCGATTTATTTAGAGACCTGCAAATCAGCAGCTGCCGTCCCATTTATGCCTGCTTTCATTTCTGCAGCGCGAAATGAAATTTCATTTCGCAATTTCTATTACGCACAGCCTCTGTCTTAGTCTTAGTGTAAATTATATAGATTATATTACGGCTGCTGTAACTGCATCCTTCAGCAGTTAATCTCTTGATTGTTTCACCTGACAGTTTCTCTTCAGCCTGTCCACTGACACTGAAAGCAATAATAGAAAACAAAAAGAAAGATTAAGAAGAAAGATTAATACTCTTTCAAACTTACGGCATAGAGTTTTGCAGACATGCTAGGCCACTTGTGAAGGTTGTCGATGAACTGGAAAATTCTAAGAAATGTCCTTATGTCGACCCATTTATCCTATAGCGCTACTTGATATAGTAGGAGCATGGTTGAACTCTTACAGGCCAAGTTTGCTTTAGAGAACATATTATATACATATATGAATAGGATTTACTCAGATTTAAAAGCTGAGTTTATGTTCTTTGTTTAAGAAGCTGCTCACTTATTTTGCTCAGTGCAGATACGACAGACAGATTCAGTGTTTACATCTCAATAGCTCTGGTCGTACTGCCTGGCATTTGCATTGGGTGCTGTTGGTGGGGGAAATGGAAAACAATTAATGAAAATTAAATTATACGTAGCCGGAAGCCATCATGAATTTTTGAGTGCAAACGCCATTAGCATTTGCCAAGCACTGGATGCCCGCCATCAGCGTGGTGTTAGTTAGGTGTGGCTGTAGTCTGCCTAGCGACTGGGCACATGGGTCGTCTGTTTTAATTTAATGTAGGGTGCTTGGTGGGTGACCGTTGCCCGTTGCCCGTTGCCCGTTGCTCGCTATCCGCTGCCCGTTGCCCGCTGCCTGTTGCCGGCTGTCAACGCATGTTGAGCATATTGAGTTTCAGAGCGTAATGGCGACAATGGGCAAGCGGATGGGCGAGCGGGGTGCGGGGAAGGGGCATCAGTGCTGTGATTTCGTTTTAAGGCCCCGCGGGGTTTACTTTTATGAGATTCGCGTGGCATGCACAGTTGGCAGTCGAACGTTAATGTTGACTCTTTTGCCTGCTGGCATTTACAGATGGCGTCGACTATAAGGAGCGGCTCATTGCCAGCGTTAAGAAGGAGGTGAAGCAACTGATGGAGGAGGCGGTCACCAGGAAGTATGTGCACGAGGACAGCAGCTCGGTGACATCGCTCTGTGCCGCTGTCGAGGCCTGCCTCAGCCAGGGACTGCGCCGTCGTGCCCTGGGCCTGTTCAAGACCTCATCGACGACAGCGCTGTTGCACAAGATAGCCAAGACCTGTGCCGAGGCGGAGCATATCAGCAAGCTGGTCCAGGAGATCGAGGCCAGCGATCCCAACAAGCGTTCTTCGTCGAGCAGCGACAGCTTCAATCGGCCGCCAATGCTCAAGAAGAGCAGCAGCAACTCCATGTCGACCACCAATGCAACCACATCAACCGCATCCGGCTCCACATCCGCCTCGGTAACGGCATCGGTGTCAGTCAGCGCCAGCACCTCGAGCATGTCGTTGGTCACCATGAAGTGAGTAGCATTTTCTGGACTTGCTAACTCTTACTCTCTTTCTAAATCACCCTCTCTCTTTCTCAATTTATTTCTTTACGATTATCCAACTTCCTCTCTCTGTCTCCACTTCATCTTCCCTCTCCCTCTATTTATTATTATAATCTTTCTCTCAAATCCTATTCCTTTCTCTCTGTCTCCTTTCGCTATCTTCTATTTATCTATCTCCCCTTTTCGCTCTCCTTCTCTCTCTTGCTTCCTCTCTCTCTCTCTCTCTCTCTCTCTCTCTATGTTCCCCCATATTTTTCTCTTTCTCTGCTTCTGAGTCTCTTTCTCCCCCTCTCTTTGTCTCTCTCTCTCCCTCTCCCTCTCCCTCTCTGGCTCTTTGCTAATATCTACTTGCAGATATCTATGGATACGCTTGGCTTTGTATGAGAAGCGTCTGACCAAGATCATCGAGTATCTGGTGAGCAACGCGCAGAGCTATTATGATCGCGATTCGTTGGTGGCCGATCCAGATTATGGTTCTATACTCAGCTCCCTGCTGGTGGGTCCTTGCGCCTTGGACTTTACGCGTGCCAAAACTGCCGATCACTATTGGACCGATCCGCATGCCGATGAGCTGGTATGGATCAGATCTTATACTGATCTCCATGTATAACGTATAATCTCTCAACCGATTGGCGTTCCAGGTGCAACGTCATCGGATCAGCTGTCGTCGCTCCTCTTCCACCTGTTCGCGGCCAGCGATAATAAACTTTAAACGTAGCTTGAACACCAGCTCGGATGATGCCAGCAGCTGTTCATTTAAATCGATTGCTTCAGCCACGGTGGCCAAGGATTATGTGGAGTCACTGCATCAGAATGCGAAGGCCACGCTACTCTATGGCAAGAACAATGTGCATGTGCTGCCCAAGGATGTGTCCGAGCTGATGCCCGGATATTTGAGTCTGCACCAGCACATCCAAACGTTGACCATCAAATGGACACCAAATCAGCTAATGAACGGCTACAATGACACCGACGACGAGGAAATCGACAAGGAGGCCTACTGGGCACATGCGCTCAACATCAATGTGGACGAGATTGTCTATGTGCACTGTCATCAGAGTCGCGGCGAGGACAGCGGCGGCACAGTTATACTGGTGGGTCAGGACGGCGTACAGCGTCCGCCCATCCATTTTCCGGAGGGCGGGCACATGCAGCAGTTTCTCAGCTGCTTGGAAACGGGTCTGCTGCCGCATGGCCAGCTCGATCCGCCACTCTGGTCGCAGCGCGGCATTGGCAAAATGTTTCTTTGGCCGAAAAGCATGCGCCGTCGCATTCTGCCCTCGGTCATGGAATCGGTGGATGAGACGCCCATTGATTATGTCTTTCGCATTGTCAGCAAGAGTCGGCACGAGGAGTTTGGTAGGTTCCGGGCCATTGAATTGCCATTGAATTGGATTTTGCTGATTTCTTGGTTTCTCTCTCATATTTTTTTTCCAGCTGCTACGCATTCCATTCTGGACTTTGTCCGCAGCACTCCAAGGCGTGCTCAACTGAGCAGCTGCTCCACTACGGGCAGCAGCGACTGCTCGAATAAGAGCTTATCCATTGATCAGTATCCGATGGAATCCCCATTGCTGCAGCAGCACAACCAAAACGCCAGCATCGAAATGGTCTGCTCCACGATGCGTCGTCAGATTATCTCGCGCGCCTTCTACGGCTGGCTGGCCTACTGTCGGCATTTGTCCACCGTACGGACACACCTGTCGGGTCTGGTGCACGGACGCATAACACCAGAGAGTGAGTTTTTGACTGCCTAACCTATTCATTAATTGAGTTATGTAACAAAAATCAAATTGAAATTCTTAGCAACATATCTGGGGAAATTTGCATTATTCTTTAGGATAGATCACATTTTTCCAAAGTCTCAAACATTATATTTGGAAATTTACAAACTTTGGCTTTTTGGTGAAAACTATAGTCACCTAAAAAGATGGGTAGTGGTTTTTGGTTTATATATATACGCATAAGCTATGCGCCTTTCTGAAAAAAATAAAAAAAAAACTGAAGAGATAAAACTGAAAGCAAAAAACTTTACTTTTCGTGCTTCAAGCAAAGAAACTATTTTTAAACTAAAACACGTGCAAAGTCGTTCGAGTGAAACACAAAAAGTTTGCAGCAAATGTTTTCTGGCCAATCGGTAAAACATGTACTCATACATTTTCGAACGAAATTAATATTAATGCCTTGGGCCGCAACTTGCCAAGAAAATACGAATCACGTCTCAAATACATGTTCATAGAAATCTTTAGGAATCAGTCTTACGCCGATTTGAAGGTCAATAAAAATGTACACAAACATTTTTCACTTATATTCCACACTTGCGGGTGAAACTTTCAAATAACCCCATTCAAAGTTCCCTTATGTACGCCACATAAGGTAGAGTTAATAGGAAGGTGAACATTGTAAGTTTTGTCTATGCATAAAGACAGCCGAAATGAGTAAAAGTAATATAATTAATATTATTGTACTCTTATTATAATTTATTATTATAATACATGCGTTTTCCACTTAAATTCCACACTTGCGGGTGGAATTTTGCAACTTGGTGTGCACAGCGCAAAAGATTATATTAGTAAAAGATTCAGCTGTCAAGTTGAATTTGGGAATAACCTTTTGTTTAAATGCTACGCTTAGATAAACTTAAATCTTTTTAAGAAATAAGTATTGTTGCATTATAATGCATTTTTATAGTTTTTTAAATCAGCACTGTTAATTTGTTGGTACTTTTTTCCAATCAAAAGTGAAAGCCGACGAGGAGGGCCTGACCAAGGAGCGCTGGGAACTGCTCAATGCGGACGGCATGCTAAATAACTCTACGGAGTTTTATCGCCTGATCTACTTTGGCGGAGTGCAGCCGGAACTGCGTAAGGAGGTGTGGCCGTATCTGCTTGGCCACTATGCATTTGGCACAACACAGGCGGAGCGAACCAAGCAGGATGAGACGTGCAAACACTACTATGAGACCACAATGAGCGAGTGGCTGGCCGTGGATGCCATTGTGCAGCAGCGGGAGAAGGAGAAGACGGCGCGGGCAGTGGCCAAGCTCAGCTCTGGCAGTAATAGCGGCAACGAGCGTACGGTACGCGCCGCGGATCTTGATGCTGGCGGTGAGCTGGAGAACGAGGTGTTTGAAGACATTTCGGATATATCCGATCCGGGTGATCTTGAGTTTGATGACGAGCAACGGCAGCAACTGCAGCAGGAGACGGCCGGCGCCAGTGTCACGCATTTGAGCGTGAAGCCAATACCCCGTGCCATGAAAACCAGCACAGATTCCGGTCATGTCGACGAAGGCCTGGATGACCTAGACGAAGAGGAAGAGGAAGAGGAGCAGCAGCAGCAGCAGCAGCAGCAGCTGCAAGAGAAAATGAAAAACAAGCAAGAAGAGAAACAAGAAATGACAACAAACATGTCGGTAGCTGACAAGAAGATCGCAGCCCAGTCGCTGGACAAGGAGGCACAAGCAAGCTGCTCAACTTCAACCACATCCTCGTATGAGACAGTGGGTGGCGTGCCGCAGCCAGGCGACACCCGCAGCGTACTCAGCCCAGAGTTTCTTAGCGCCGATGATCTGCAGGCCCAGCTGCCCGACGACGAGGAAGGCGCACAGCCACAGCAGGCAGCTGCTGTCATCATTACGAATGCTTCTGTGGACATTGCCAACTGGGAGCGCAGTCCCAAGGCTGGCGCCAATAGTCAGATGCCGCCGCTGAGCGAACAGTTTGAGAACGGCGCCAATGCGCCCAACCTGGATGCACTGCAGCAGCCAAAATCTAGCTGCGCCTCACCAGCCAGCTCCAATGGTGGTGTTTACAGCGTAAGCACTTGCGCTCTTACGTAGTCACACCCCCTTCCAACCTATAATTGCTATTGTTTATTGACAGAGTGAGCTGCTGGAACAGTTTGGCCTAAATCTGCATCGGATCGAGAAGGATGTGCAGCGCTGCGATCGAAATTATTGGTACTTTGCCAGCGAGAATCTGGACAAGCTACGCAATGTGATATCGACGTACGTGTGGGAGCACCTGGACGTGGGCTACATGCAGGGCATGTGCGATCTGGTCGCTCCCTTGCTGGTCATCTTCGATGATGAGTCGCTCAGCTACAGCTGCTTCTGCAAGCTCATGGAGCGCATGATCGAGAACTTTCCCAGCGGTGGTGCCATGGACATGCATTTCGCCAATATGCGGTATTTATCTGTCTATCTATGCAATCTTGAACAGATGCTGACCTGCTCGTTTGCCGATCTCTTCCAGCTCGCTCATCCAAATACTCGACTCAGAGATGTACGACCTGATGGACTCGAATGGCGATTACACCCACTTCTACTTCTGTTACCGCTGGTTCCTCTTGGATTTCAAGCGTGAGCTTATCTATGACGATGTCTTTTCCACCTGGGAGATCATCTGGGCAGCCAAACACATTGCCTCCGGGCATTTTGTGCTCTTCCTGGCGCTGGCGCTGCTCGAAACCTATCGCGATATCATCTTGTCCAACAGCATGGACTTTACAGATGTCATCAAGTTCTTTAATGGTACAGTTTACATAGTGTAGTACTCATATATATTCACGTATATATTTTATATTTTATATATATATATATTTCAGAAATGGCCGAGCGGCATAATGCCCAAGCGGTGCTCCAGCTGGCGCGAAGTCTGGTCCTGCAGCTTCAGATGATTATTGAGAACAAGTAGATCGATTTATAATAAACATTAAGTAGCAACAATGCTTATATAGTAGTTATAGATGTTTAATCTATGTTTTGCCAAAAACCTGAAAGCCACAGAACTTCCCAAGTAGGCACAAAAGAATACCCTCACCCCAAATGAATGTATACAATAAGTATGTGCTAAGATGTAATCCGAAACTTTGACTCTAATTGTAACTGTAACTGTGACTGTTATTATATACATTTTATGTAAATGTTGGTTAATGTTATACCCACATCTCCGAACAACCAAAAAAAATGGGGCCGAAAACATAAAAGACTATATAAAGTGAATCTGACAAACTGTATCAAAAAGAAAGCAGCATTTCAAACTTTATATCGTACAAATAATATTAGTAACAGGCGTGTTTTTTTTTTCCAACCTAAACCTATCACTAACATGAATATTTATTTAATATACATACAATATATGTAGTAAATTAGAGTGCAATTAAACTAAAAATATCAAGAGGTTATATGAAATAAATATATACAAATATTGTACACAATATGTATGTACAACCCTATATACTGCAACATATATATGTATGTATGTGCATGTGTGTGTGTGTGTGTGTGTGTGTGTGTGTCTGCGTCTGTGTATACAAATGTATATGTCTACATGTAAAAAGTAATCGGAAAAGTATTCAAAATGAAAATATATCTGTACCAATCTGAAATTTCCTTCTGCGAAAGGCGAAAATCAAAAACAAGTACTATATGTATACCGTTCTGGATATCAAATCAGGGCATGATACCGTAGACCTAACCTAGCTGATTTGAACTTATTCGAAATCCAATTCGAAACTGTAGCCGATTTACCAAAAACATATTACAATTGTTGACCAATTCCCATTGTTTTTGCGGTATCGTTTCGTTTTGGTTTTTTGGCATTATTTATTTACCTTTTCCGCGCCCATATATATACATACCGAAGTTTGTACAATATATATTACATATGTATGTATTTCGAAACTATCTTTGCTAAAATTATAAATATTAAACTGAACGTCATCCTGAGTATTTTCTTGCTGGTTCGAACATTGGGTACCATTTTATTTTAGTTAGTTAGGGTAAGAGCAGGTGAATGAAAATGAAACAAAGTGAGAGGTAGGGAGAACTAATGAGATAAAGATAGAGAGAGGGAGAGAGAGTGCAAGCGACTTTTTTACATAAAGTTATTAAATTTAGAACAGAGATTAAGTTTATTAAATTGCCGACACAAGTTTTTAATTTAGCACTTATCTGACTTTATGAGAATCGCGTAGTAGGGCGACATTTACAACAACGTTATATTTTCAGTTTGCAGCACAGCGGTAAGTAAACTTTGTATGCGTTTAGAAGAATATACAAATATATATAGACACACACGCAGACATGCAACTTGCATTCATGTATATACACACGCATACATGCGTACATACACACAAAAATGTTAAAAAGACTGACAACGCATTAAAACCTCCAGGGCTTACTTGAAATTATGAGAATCGCATAGAAGGGCGACATTTGCAAAGACGATTTTTCTTTAATTTGCTGCGCAGCGGTAAGTAACCATGGCCATTTATTATTAGATTAAATTATTGATTAAAATAATTAACGACTAATTAACGATTATTTTATGATGTTTTTTTATGAACAGATAACTTTTAAGTATTGAATTCATGTCAAAAATCTTTGTGAATCTCATGTCGGGCCTATTGTTGCGGCTTTTACAAGAAACAATTTTTTTAATAGAGTTTCTATATATTCTTCTGTATACATTATATAAATACTTATCTATCAATCGACTGACAGATTATGTGTTTATCATTTAGAACAGCCAAGTTTGATTTACTTAAGTTGCCGTTCATAGATACTTGACACCAAATAGTTAAGCAAACCAAATGTGGGCTGTAGGTAATGCTTGACTAGTACATACCCTGTAGTCAGTCCATCCATCTTAACACTTACTTAAAAAATTGAAAAAATTTAGATAAGAAATCAAAACTTTTTTTCTTTAAATCGCCATGATCATTGCGCTATTACAGATAGACGGTCGCGAGAGGCCTTTAGATATGTTCAAGTGGATGTAAGTTATGGGTTCAAAGATGGGTTCTTCTGCCCGCTATAAAATAGTATTAAACTATTTGCTTTTGGCCATAAATCGTTTTCAAGAGCTAGAATAAAAAGTTAATCTATTTAATCAGCTTAGGAATATATATACTATATACTAATCCATCAGTTGCTCCAGCGCCAAGCAATAATAAATTTCGAATCTGAGCACATACATACTCACATGCTGCTCATATAATCGAATGCAACTACTTCTAATACGATAAGCAGAAGGTTTATATTTAGTCATAATACAAAACATACGTAATCCAGCACGGGTTGCCAACGCCCAAGCCGTAACTGTTTTACGCGTTATCTTGCCTGGTAGCTCCCCATTTACCCACTTATGTAGTTGTATACTATATTCTTTTGTTATTGTTTATTTGTCTCAGATTCGCATTTCGTATCAATGGATCGCCGGGCATCGTGTATAAAAGTGTGCAGCTGCAATCGATACAAAGAGTTGCCAGTTCTTAGCTCATTCATAACATGTCGTCGGACTTAGCCAGTTTGCTAGGTCTCTGCAACAATGAGGATCCGCCAAATATTCCATTCCATAAAGGAAGTAGCGTTCAGAGTAAGTTATCTCACTTGAAGATTATTCAAATTTGATTAGTTGCCGTGAAAAAAAAAAGATTACGCATATAACCAATCCAGTTATGATAAAAAAAATCCGTATGGCATGACTGCCACTATCTTTCAAAACGTGGCCAAGGCACACTCCCAGATTGTGTGCTGGAAGGTATTTCAGATATTATTTATCAATGAAATTTAGTTAAAGAATTTTGAACCAAACAGAAAATAAATATAATTATATCAGCCTACATTCAATATTCATTTGAAAACATTTTCATTTATAAAGTTGTGCTCTTGAAGTTTCCAACTTATCGAAACTATTTGAAGAGTATCTAGAAACCATAATCTATTTCCTTTTTGAATATGTCCATTTAGGGATTTTGAGAAATCTACAACTAGGCACATACTATACCATATGTCCTGAGATAAGGCATATATTAAAGAGTTAATTTCTCAAAGTTTTTTTTTTTTAACTCCTAATTCGAGGAGTAAAAGAATAGCTTGATTCCAGATATACCGAAAGCTTAAAACAGATTGAAAAAGAAAAACCGACAATAAAAATCTTTGATTTGTACACAATTTGGCATAGCTTTGAGGGAAACTTAAAAGATATAAAGACCTATTCGATTTGCAGTAGCGAATGGGGGCGTAAAAAGCAAAGTTTAAAGCTTGAGCTAAAACCGTTATATGCCGACACATACACATACATAAGGCGAGCTTTAACAAAGTGCACAAGCCGTAAAATACTTTATGCTCAAAGAGCAAGAGAGATTATTGTTTAATTCGCACAGAGCTTGCAGCAAATATTTGTTTTTTTTTTTTTTTTAAGTGCTCATTCGCAAGCTTCGCGCACGCTCTCCGAGCAGAAGCTTTTGTGCTTTCGTTGAATGCGTGCTCGCGAGTGCTAACCAGTTGTCAGAGCTGCTCGTAGCTAATAGGTCGCTCTTGCTTTGCGTCTCGGTAGTTTGTTTGTTGTTGGATCTCCGATCAAAGGTGTGTAGCGTGTGAGGTGATCTTTGAACCGGCTGTGGGGCGGTGGGCTCAGCTGATCAGCTGTTGCCCGAAATTGTTGTTTATACTTATGACCAAATATATTTACAGTTGCAAAACGCAAGGTAACAAAGCTGGAAAGCAAGACGATGTCCTCTCCGCTGCGCTTCTATTACGATCTGATGTCGCAGCCGTCACGGGCGCTGCTCATCATCTTCCGGTTGAGTGGCATGCAGTTTGAGGATTGCATCGTGGCGCTGCGTAATGGTGGGTGCTCGCTTATACTTATCTATAAAATGGAATGCATTTCATTTATAATGGGACTTTGCACATGGCAGGCGAACATCTGACAGAAGAGTTCAAGCAGAATATTAATCGCTTCCAGCGCGTACCCTGCATTAATGACAACGGCTATAAGCTGGCGGAGAGCGTGGCCATTTTGCGTTACCTTAGCGCCAAGGGCAAGATACCGGAACAGCTGTATCCCAAGTATTTTGTAGATCAGGCGCGCGTCGATGAGTTCCTCGAATGGCAGCATATTACGCTGCGCGTCACTTGCGCCCTGTACTTTCGGACCATCTGGCTTGAGCCGCTGCTGACGGGACGTACACCCACAGAGGCGAAAATTGAGACGCTGCGCATGCACATGGAGCGTAATCTGGACATTATTGAGGAGGTGTGGCTGGCCAAGAGTGAGTTCCTCACCGGACCAGCGCTCACCGTTGCCGACATATTCGCAGCCTGCGAAATTGAACAGACACGTAAGTCAATTGTCTAATCTTATAAGTATAACTGGATTGCTCACTTCCAATCCTCAACATAGGCATGGCCGATTATGATGTGCGCATCAAGTATCCCAAGATTCGCGCCTGGCTGAAGCGCGTGCGGCACAGCTGCAATCCGCATTACGATGCCGCTCACTCGTTCGTGTACAAGATATCGGGCACGGGCCCACAAGCCAAGCTCTAAGGCATTCCATAAATCAGACGATGTAATACTTTCTGTAAATATCTGTGTACTTGCATGCCATACACATATTTATGTTAACACGTCAGAGATTAAGTATTTATAGATCTTAAATATATATTAAGTATTCCAATTCAGAAGGAAAACTTTTTTTGTGGGTCTTATAAAGCATAAAACAGAAAACATAAAGATCTTATTAAGCCGTGAATTTTAGTTCCTTGAGTTATTTCAAAAATTCTTGAAAATTCAAAGACTGAATTTCAATATATTTACACTACAAACTGAACTTTAATCAAACCTCTATTCCAAAATGTAGTCAACCTGAATCAAACAACATTCTTTAAAGAATAATTTGGTTCAAAATTAACAATATTTGAAGAAGACCCCATTTACCTAACCATATTAGATAAATGTCAATTTTGGGTAGAAATCAAATATTGCCTGCATTTTGTATAAAACAATTTGCAAATTGTAAATTAAATTTTTTATTATACAAATTTGGAATATAACAATATGTTTTTACATAAAAAAAAAAACAAGGTTTGTACCAAATCCTGGGCTTATGACGCGACCCTGAAGACAGGGTGTGGGTGGTGGGTTGGTGGTTGAACCATGAACCGAGCCAGCCAAATTTTGTTTTTGCAGCCCTGGTTAAAGCACAACATTAAGCGAATAAGAGGTTAGATATACATATATTCTTTCATTCAAATAATTGCAGATTAATTGTTATATCCCGATTTTAAGCTATATGAAAATTTCATACGTGATTAATTAGCTTTATAAGTACTCTTATGATTTTGTTTTTATTGTGTCGTCATTGTTGCTTTTATAATTTCACATTTATTTAAAAAAAAAATACAATTTTAAAAAATAACTACCTAAAACTAATAAAAAATATTAATAATATATAATATAATATATATAGCAACGTTACGCGCTTGGATTTCTAACATTTTGCAACAATTTTTTTTCTTCAGTTTTTGCGATAACAAAACATAATATATATAAATAAAGGTAGGGTTACAAAAAATATATATATGTTAATGTATTTATATATATATATATATATTTTTTTGTAAATTGTATGTTGATAAAAAATCAAAATTTAGAAATCAGTATCAAATCAAGTAAAATAAAAGATAAATGGTATATACAAAAAAAAAAAAAAAAAAAAAAAAAAAAAACTATACAATATGGATATATTTATGTAAATATGTAAATATTTAGATATATTTCTAAATATATACACATATGTGCTTGTATGTGTGCGTGTGTATATATAAAACTACATACAACTCTAGACTACATTCACTTAATTATTATATATGCATGTATATTTTTTTGCGTTGAATTCAACTTAAAATAATACAAAAAATATGTGTGTGTGTGTGTGTGTGTAAACGTGTTTATGTGTGTATGTGTGTCCATGTATGTGTGTGTGTATATATTTTAATTATAATGGATACTTGTATGCGTTTTGACCTAATACCAAACGTCTTCTACGATAACATTTTAATAATTCGGCATACATTAAAATGTATACGTAATGCTCTTTTATACTAATTGCTGAATTGTTGAAATATATGTATGTGTATATAATTTTAGTAATTTGTTTGTTTGTCATAAGGATTATATGAAAGAAATGTTTAAATTGTTGCGTATTCTGCCTATGTGCACCTGGTTTTTTTGTCGCCTGCCACTCACTAACGACTGCGTACTTCTGATGGCCAAACAGGCAGCTGCATTGAGCCCGGCTCAGTTAGGCCCATTGATGTTGGGCTTAACTAACTGTTAACATTTGACGAAGTATGGCCGACTCTTAAACTAATGACACGTGAGCACCAAACGCATATATATGTACACACATAAATATATAGCGTACATATAATGGCTGCCAATTGGCAATTGAGCACCGATGTGGCCAGCTGGACCCTCGGGCAGTGTTCCCTAAATCATGTCACTAACAATTTTTAAAGCAAAGCAATTAAGGCACCAAAAAGTGTTGCATCTACGCACTAGAAGCTACCCATAGGCATGGACAGGTACAGGTACAAACAATGAAAAAAAAAAAAAAAAACAAAAAAAAAATAAACAAACTACATGCATACAGTCGAAATACGTTGCAGATGCATACAAAGCGGCTGCCTGCCACAAGATGTTGCCAACTCTCTCTCTCTCTCTCTCCTCTATCACTCTTACTCTCTCTTTCACTTTCACTTTCACTTACTCTCTGTCTCTATCTCTTTTAAATTGTGTGTCTGCTCTAGGCAGGCGACATTGTTTGGATTACGTGTAAATATATGTAAATATATATGTATGTACTATGTATTTTTATATATGGCTATCAAATGTTTGCCAAGTTAAGCTTAACATATCCGTGCATATACGCACATATGTATGAGTGTATAAATATGTTTGTATATATGTGTGTATATGTCTCTCTGTGGGTGTGTTGTGTGTGCCTGTGTATGATTATTTTACAAATATATGTATGCATGTATATGGTTTAAGCATATTCCGTACTGTTTGTATACGTTTTACAAAATAGTTTTGTATTCATATAAATATATATATATACATATATATATAAATATATATCTTTCTCTGTAGGACGCGCTGTCCCTATCGTTACTTTTGCTTTTCCATTGTTCCCTCGATGTGTATGTGTGTGTGTGTGTGTGTGTGTGTGTGTGTCTGTGTATGTGTGTCGCGTGAGTTTGGGGCTAGGTATGTTTTCGATGGGTTGTGTGTGTGTCTCTTTGTTTGTTTGTGTATGCTTCAGCCACAATTTCCTTTAAAATACTTTCGCATGTGTTTTATATACTTCGCTTTTAATACTAATGTTTTCCAGTATATGCTCTCACACTTTCGTGCTGCCTCCTTCTCTCGTTCTCTCGCTCTCTCCCTCTCTCTTTCTCTCTCTCTCTGCTTCTCTCTGAGCTTTTCATTTCATTTTAGCTGGAAGCGAGACACAAATTAGCTTGAAATTAGCTCGAAATTTAACCCATTAGGAGACGCACCTGCTCCACTTCTGCCCATCTAGAAGCGCGCTCTGTTCATATTCTTGATGCGTATGCCGACTTCCAAGACTTGGTCACCGCCGGCAGCGCCGCCGCCACTGCTGCTGTGGCTTGAGGAGCTGCTGCTGCTGCTGTTGCTGCCGCTGACACCGCCGCCGCCGCCACCGCCGCTGGCAGAGCTGTTGCCATTGCTGCCATCGCTTAGCGGCGAATTGTTGTTGTTGTTGTTGTTGTTGTTATTGTTGCCCGAACTGGAACCGGAGACGACAACAGGCAACGCAACATTCGCCTCGGCATTGACACCACTCACACTGGCACTTGCACTGGCCGCAGTTGCGCCCAGTCTACGCAACACTGTGGTGGTTGTTGTTGTTGTCGTTGTTGTCTCAGCAGCTGCACCAGCATTGCTCCCGCCGGCGGCGCTGCCCAACTTCAAAAGCTGCTGCTTATGATGCCGATTGTGATGGTTGTAATTGATAGCGGTCAGATCATGACCGGCGGTGCCATTGCCACAGCCACCAGCGTTATTGGCGGCATAATCGTGCGGGCCGCCCACCGTGTGCCGGCGCTTGATTGAGCGATTCTGTTTGTTTTGTATCTGCCGCTTCTTGGTCAGATTCATGTCAGTCTTTTCGTCCTTGGTGAGCGCAGCAGCGGCATGGGCCCACGCCAATGACGACGATGTCGGCGAGCAACAGGTGGCGGCGGCAGCAGCAGCGGCAGCAGCAGCAGCAGCTGCCGAATTGCTCGAATTGCTGCTGCTCATGTGTCGCGTCGAGTAGTTGCGACAGTTGAAGCTGGCGCTGCGAAAGAGCCGATGATCGCGCCGCTTCTTATTGTAGCGTTCAAGAAAAAACGATGGCGAGGGTGTGGCCATTAGGAGCTTCTCCTTCGGATCACTGGTGGTGGAGCCCTCCGAGTCATCTTCGGAGCCGGCGCCACCAATGCCCCGTTCGTAGGCCAGCGAGCTGCTGAACCTCAGATTCTTGCTTCCGTACGAGTTGCGCTGCATCGTGTTGGCCGTCTGGGAGCTGGGCGTGCCAGCCAGCGGTGTTGAGGCGCTGCTTGAGCCGGTGCCAGCTGTGGGCGTGGCAGCGCCACTGGCCGGCGCCGTTGCGCTGCCCTGGTGTATGGGCACCGTGGCCGAGTGCTGCAGCTTGTGCGCCGCCTTGAGCAAACTAGCCGGCAGCGGAGCCACCGTTGGCTTCATCAGCAGCTGCAGCTGCTGCTTGTCCTCTTTGGCCTCGCCAATGCTATTGGTGGCCGTGCAGGAACGGCTCAAGAGCAACGAGTGTGGTGCGTCCAGTGGGCAAAAGTTGTGGAACAGTCGCTCCGGCGACTCGTCCGCATAGGGAATGTTCTCGGAGTGCAAGTGCAACGGCTGACCAAGTGTGTGCCGGCGATTTTTGGGAAACTCGGGCGAACCGTTCTCATCGTTCGATTCGGAGCCGCTGCGCAAATTGCGCAGCTTGCTGTCCAGCGTGTCCGTGATGGTCGTCAGCGACATGGAGCCTGCCCACAGACAGTGGATAATTAGTGGTGGGCCTTACAGGGTATTTCAAGTGCTTGCACTTACCCGTATCGCTTAGACGGCTACTCGAATCATCGTCGGTGAGCAGTATGGAAATGTCAACGCTGCTCCGCTGCTGCTCATGCTTGCCAACGCTGCCAGCTGAATCAACGCTGGCCGAGTCCTTCTCATCCAGGCTGGCCTTGCGTGCCTGGGCGCTCCGCGAACTAGAGCTGGAGAGGAAGCCACCAGTGCCGCGCTTTTTGGTGCTCGCCGCGGCCGCCTTAGCTGTACTCGACGAGGAGGATGTCGTAAAGGAAGATGAGCCCCCGCCGCCAATGGCCGAGCTGAGCAGCTTACTAGTGGTGCTGGTCTTGCTGCTATGCAGCGTCGAGCTGCTGCTGGTGCTGGTCGTGCTGCTCGCTGACACCTTGGCGTAGTCCAGCGACTGAAAGTGAACAGCGGGCAGGATTAGGCCAAAATCGCAAATGCTCTGCACAGACTTGCGCTGCATTCGTCTTTGGTTGGTGGTGCGGATGGTGGTTGTGGTATTGGTTGTTTTGGTTGTATTGGTGGTGTTGTCGGTAGTTGTGGTGCAGTGGGAATTGTGCTGGGCTTGACTACTGCCGCTTACCAGAACACTCTCGCCGGAGTACGTGTCCGAGCTGACGGCGCTGCGTTTGCCATGGGTGCGTCTTCGCAGCTGCGGAATGAAACGCGAGGAGCGTGTCTCCCGTTCCGTGATGCGCTCAATCTTGGACAGGTTGTGCAGCAGCATGCTCGTTTGGTCCTCTTGCGTCTGCTGTGGCTGGGCCGGACTTGGCGCGGCCGCGCCGCCGGTCAGATCAGCCAGATCCGGCAGACTGCCGCCCTCGAAGAAGAACTCGTACTGTGAACAGATTAAAGATAGCGATGGATAAAAGCGTCAACCTAATCGCTGCTGTTGTGGACCCACCTGTGTGACGAGCAACTCGACAATGCGACACTGATGCTTCATATCCTTGACGGCCGTTTCCAGGGTATCGTTGGGTGTGCGTATTATAGATGGCCCAAAGATAATTGCTAGGTTCTTGGGTTCCATGCGATTCACCTCGCAGTTGTCGCTGACGCGGCACAGATGCCTGATCAGATGCTTCATTGTCTCGTACGGATGACGCGGCAGGGACTCGACAATGTCCTTTAGCAGCACAATGCGCTCCATGCCCGTCTTCTTGTCCGCCTCAATGAAATTTATGTAAAAGCTGGCCGGCATCAGTGCATCCGGCAGGCTGCGTATAAAAAGCTTAAGCAGGCTGCTAACGACATTGACATCCTCCCATCGGACATCGGTGGCGCAGCTGTCGAACGAAAATTCTTTCGTGTTGACAAGCTCGGACAGCTCCGAGATGGCCGCCTTGTTGCCGGGTATGCGATAAATACCGACCACGCCCAAACCTTTGGTCTCCACAATATTGGTGCAGATCTCCACCAGATGCGGTACATAGGCGTTACTTTTGGACATGGGACATGCGCGCAAAGGCTGACCAATGGAGCCGCCTGTTCTGCTGCCACAGCCCGAGGGTGAGGCCAAATCAGCATGGGCAACCCCGCCGCCACTGCCACCTCCACGACGAAATAGTAAATCTTTCCAGTTCTTTGACTTGGGCGAGCCGAGATCTTTTTCGGGCACATTCTTGTGGGAGGAGGGCTTGCGCAGCTTCATCACGGGCGATATCGCATCATTGGTGGTGGCAGCTGCAGCTATGGAAGCCACAGCGGTACCCTCCACCAAAGCACCGCCCGAATGCGAGCTCACCGGCGAGCTATCTGCGCCAGCGACATCATCCAGGTAGCTGGAGGTGGCGGCTGTTTTTTGTGGCTCCGCCAGCTGTTTGCCTGCAGGCTGCTCCTGGAAAATAAAATCGAGGCTTGAAGGATTGGCCAATTCGGGTTTTCCAGTACCACTTACAACGTCATCATAGTTCAAGCTATCCTTCCACTGCAGCAGCCCAAAGAGGCGCTTCATCTCGTTGCTGCTCTTGGTCTTGAATAGAATTTCGGTGTAGGGACCGCAGGACGGAGCCGATGATGCCGGTGTTTGTGGCTCGGCGGCGCTGCTGCTGCCCGACGAAGTCAGCTTATCGTGCGCATCATCCAAATTGAGCTCGTTGCCCAATGTAGCCAAATGGGCGACGCTGGCGCTCGGCTTCGACTGCATGCGTATCAAGTACTTCTTTTTGTCCAGTGACTCGTCGAAGAATTTAAAATTTCTAATATCAAGCTCTATCACCTGCCAAATGGAATATGTATTCAATGGGTATTTTTCAGGCAAGGAATAGACGCAATTCAAGTTTAGCTGCGTGAATGATTGGACAATGAATATATTCTTCGATATTCAGGCAGCGCAAAAGCAGGCTCCATGTGCCTGCTATAAAAACTGGTTAGGCAAAGCCATGTCTCCAGCCGCTGAAGATGCTAACAATATCTTTAATTTTGGCTTGGATACCGGGGATCGCTCAGCTTTCCACTACGCCTTAGGAAATTCCTCTGTATCGGGGCAATAGAAACCGAAAGTTTGGCCACCCGGATATCTTTGGAATGCCGGCGATTGAATACCTTACGTTTAAGTTGGAAAAAAATTAAGAAGCTTTATTGCCTCTGGTTGAAAATTCCCGGAAGTCACAGCCAAGGCCAAGGTTGAAAACGATCCTTGACGAAAAGTGCAGCGCTTCGGCAGCCACCATTTTTCGTTGGTTTCGTTGGAATCGCAAGCCGAAGCAGCAACAAGATATTTGTTTCGTTCATTGTTATGTGCGTTGCCCCTCTTCCCTACACACACACACACACACACACACACACACACACACACACACACACACACACACACACACACACACACACACACACACACACACACACACACAAGCGAAAAGCAAAGTTCAGGCCAGGTAACTTCGACGGCCCGCGCGACTGCAGTCAGTGTTGCCCATGCAGCTATTTTCCAGCTGACTTTGGCTATTTTCACTATTGGCTATTTATTTCTATTATTATTATTATTATTATTATTATTATTATTATTTCTATTATTATTATTATTATTTCAATTATTATTATTATTATTTCCATTTTTATTATTATTATTATTGTTTTTGTATCTGTTTTCATTCCTTTTCACATTCTTTGTTTATATTTTTTATTTTTTTATTATTTATAGTCCCGTTTTGCATCCAATGCAAGTTAACTTTAAATGCAAAATCGGATGAGTAGTTCGTTATTTTGTAGAAAAGTTATTTTAGCTATGTTTTTTAGCCACTTTTTTTATAGTTCAACTGTTTTCAGTTACTTTTAAGATCGAATTTAGCTATCATTTGCAACAATCGAAGCAGACATATGCAAACATTGATCGGAAACCATATAATATGGAAATATTAGAGCGATTTGACACATCCAGGGTAAATATGTTATGAAAGGAATTTAAAGCTCAAAATAGTTTGAAAAACAGAAATGTTTTCCATACAAAAACTTGTTTTTCGGTCGACTTTTCCGACAGGGGTAAATGATATAGTAGTCCGATAGAGTTTGCTCAAGATATCTTGAAAAATAATAATCGACAACTAATGTTAGTCGATCGTTTTGATGTCAGCTACTCTATGATATTGTGGACCTAAGCTGCCGACTCTATTTGCTGTTGGTAGCTTAAAAACCGAGAGACTAATTTGCAAGAAGTCGCAACATGTGCAACATCCAATATGCAATATCCTCTTAAAGGAGAGGAGGAATCTATTTTAGCTAAGGAATCAAATATTTAATAATAAATAAGGAAATATCAAAACATGTTTCCCTATGATGTCAGGCAGACCCAAAAAACAAGTTATGACGCAGTGCAAGAAGCTCTTAAAATTAAATTGGACACTACACATTAATTGCTACTTGAAAGGGCGGCACTTACATTATGCTCCGACTTGGCATGGCGTCCAGAGTAGATGCGTAGGAAATCTCCTTTGATTTCCAATTTAACCTGACGCCACGAACGGTACTCGGACATGCGCTGTGGAATAGAATTGTGTGGCTTAGTTAAGGATCATTTATTTGGGCAATTGGCTGCTTACCTTGCCATTGATGCACGAGGATTTGATCTCGATCTCCGTCTCAAAGGCCTCCAGCTCGTTGGGCACATACTTGCCATTCAGCTCGGCATCAATATGGATGCTAGGTGAAAATGGTGTCAATTAGAATATGATGTGGATATTGGCTTGTTTGTTATTCACCTGCTGCGCATATCGCTGTTGATGGAGGCACGCCGGTTGCCATGATGTGCGGACAGGCGCACATCCTCCAGGCCGTTGGGCGTTTCGATAAACTCGTGACCACCGCCGGTGCCAGCGATTACATCGTACGTGGGGTCTGGATGCTCCTCCACCAGTGCTTTGGTCTTGTGTGGCTCGACAGCGGCCGCCGCAGCAGCCGCAGCGGCTGCGGCCGCAACGACAGAAGCTGCGGCAGTTGTACTGGCTGCAGCTCCATCCGCCGGCGGCTCTGCATGATACTCCGTCTCATTGTTGGTGGCACGCAAATACGAGATGCGTCGCACCGGCTTACCCTCGTCAAAGGAGCTCGAGGAAAGCGGCTTATAGCGACGCACCACGTTGCCCGGCGCGGACGCGGCCTCCACAATGGCAGCGGCTGTAAAAAGTGAATTCGATTTTCTTGAAAAAAGCACAAGGGACTCTAAAGCACGCGAAAAGGTATGCTAACTAAGTAGCTTATTAGTGTATACTTTGCATTATCTGGGAAAAATAAACAAGCGTGCCCCACTAGCAAATGCCCTGAGCCGAGTGCCACTTATTCAAGCTTCCTTCTACACACTTTTGCATACACACACAATAACACACACATTCACACGGACGAGCGCACGCCGGAAGTACCCTAGAAACTTTCAAATGTTCAAGCGACTCACTTAAACGTAATTCACTCATATGTAAATTGTGGCTATCACTTTAAGTTGGAAAAGATCACTGATCATCTCAGCAAAACAGCATCAAGAAGAGCCACTTACCGCTACTCTCAGCAATGTCCGCCAAGGTGGCTACCGTGTGCGAGGAACTGGCGGCCTGCTGGTGCTCCGGAACGTTGCTGAATTCTGAAATTGGCCACAGAAAAGTGTTGTTGCAGTCAGGATTAGGTGATTTGAGCAAGTGTTTGGGCTAGGACTGAATACTTACTGCTAGTCGGCACCGACTCAAAGGTTGCATTTGCAAGTGTTGCTTTATGTAACTCCATCCGGCTGGTTGACTGTCCGTCTACTGTGCTGCTACTGCTGGTGGCGATGTTGCTCTGTTGATACTTGGATTGCATCTGATGCAAAGGATGCTGCTGGAGTGACTCGTAAAGAACGCTCTGCTTCTTCGCCAACGCAACCGAGGCGCTGCTCGATTCGGAGGCGGCGCTTGTATTGATTGACAACGGCTTGAACGGATCAAAACCCTTCGACATATGAGAGACAAGTTTACTTTCAAATCTATTAGAGAGAATAAGAGAGATTAACAAAACAATCTCAGCCAATTAGGTCATGCGGCTTGGATCCACTTACACCTTGTTGGTAACACCCGTCTCCTGCAGCGTCTCAAAATAGTCTAGCTCCTTAGCGTACTTGCCATTATTGCTGCCCACGCCGACAGCCACCTGTCGCTGCTGCAGCGGCATTGCACCTATGGAACGCGGCGCCAGCTTGCTGCTCGCGTAGCTGTTGTACATGTCGTAGCCAAGAACAACCTGCTGCTGCTGCTGCTGTTGCTGCTGATGGTGTAGGTGGTGGTGGTGGTGCAGTAGTTGTTGTTGTTGCTGCTGCTGTTGTTGCTGTTTGTGTAGAACTTGGTGGCGCACGCGCTGTGCAACAGCTCCGCCTCCTGGCGGCGTGTGCGATGGGAAAAAGTGCTGTGCCGGTTGTTGTTGCTGCTGCTGCTGCTTCTGTGGCGACGACTGCGATGCGTTGCCGTTGGATGCGGAGGCGGATAGCACACCGGAGGGTAGCGGCGATTTGAGGAACTCCTCCTTCTGCTTGATGGACTCGCGCAGTCGTATCATCAGGTCGCTGTTCTCACCGCCGCTGCCACTGCCACTGCCGCTGCCGCTGCCGCTGCTGCTGCCGACGCCGCTTGCATTTACCGCGTACAATGCTTGGCTTATGGCCCCTACCGATTTGGTTTGGCGGCCGGTGGGCGTGGTTGGTTGTGTTGTGCTTGCTAATACTGTTAGATTTGGCGGTTGATTGGCACTGCAAACAGAAAAGAACAACAAATCAGTTACAATTATTATTATTATAGAGGAACAAACACTAAAGACAAAGACAACCACATTGTTGGCCACGCAAGAAATCTGATCCTTAGGGGCTGCAGTTAACTAAGGGGCTGCTAACATTGCGTAAGCGATTAATTGGCTCCACTTCAAAGAATCCATTACTTGTGAATTATATTTTTAGATTCACATTCACCCACATTCGATTTATGTCACCGTTTTATTTTCCGGGAAATACTTAAAGCGCCTGAGATATATATATGATTTAGTAGCGTATCTATAATCTAAATATCTTTGTCAATTCTGTTCATATTCCTTAATTTATAACACATTGATGGCAATCACAATCTCACAATATATATACATCGATGTCTCTATATATATAAAACTTTTTCTTTAGAGCTAGGAGTATGAAGGATAAACTGTATGTAAATGCTCACAAAGCAGTGGTCTATGGCTAATTCCACCCGCTAGTGTGGAAAATGAGTGGAAAGTGGTTGAGTGCAACATACGATCGGTGTCAAACTCATCAATTTTAAGTTCATTTAAGACGTGAAGTTCAAGGTGAGACGGGTAGAAAAAAAACATGCCATGGTCGGAATAAAGCTGAAAAAGTCTAGACTTTAAAGCAACAAGCTAGGTTTTTTTTTTTTTTCAAGAACCTAATATTGTTACCAGCTTCTTTTATAGTCTGTTCACGTGGGTAATAGAACATTTAGCAGTTGTATCATTAGAAGTTAACATTTTGTTTACATCAATTGGCAAACAGATCTGGATACTAAGGGCCAAGTTACCTGAAGATTTTGAAATATCAATTCAATATGTATACATGTGTGTGTGCGTAAGGTAACAACACCTGATGGCCATACGAAATAAAGTCGTTGGAGCTGAGGGTTTTTGGCGCGTGCCGTTAGCGTTAAAGTCGACGTCAAAGGTAACGCGAACGTCAACGTCAATGTTTGCCTCTGCTGCGGCATGTGGACTGGGTTCGCTTGGACGTTGTCAGCTGTTTGGATACGCTGGTCACGGCAAAGACGACGACGACAACGACATCGCCGTTGCCAAATACGAGTAAGCTGCGCAATTTGCGTAAACAGCGAGGGTGGCACGCCCCACGCTGTCCCACTCTGCGGCCCGCAAGGCCCGCCGCCACCCAGCCACTGATTGCGATGACTGTTTGGATTGTGAATGTGTTATTTATTGTTGTTTGTTTATTAACGAATGTATTTGTTTAAGAATTTTGTGCTGCCGTGCGCGAGCATTCAGACTGCAACGGATCAGATAGAGATCTTTCAGTCGTCGCCTCGGACCACAGGTGCGCTAGGCCATGTCCAATAATAGCAGCAACAACAAAAAGTTACGCTGCTCTAGTCGTCAGTGCCCGACGAGTAGATACCCTGAACACACATAAACTCACACAGACACACACAACGGCTGCACTTCTTTTCCTCTTAGCCATGCCCCACAAATGCGTTCATGATTTACCTTGGATTTCACAGTCCGATCTTTATAAGTGTGCATATACCAAAGACTGCACCCTTAAACAAGTGGAAAGTGACCCAAAAAGGGATATAATTTTGATTTGTATATACCTTAAGACCTCTTCAAATTTGATTCTTATCGAGAAAATAATAACTACAGGAGTAGGTTATTAATAGCTATAATTTAAGGCCCCCTGAAGCCTCTTTTGTAGTTATCCATATCAATACAGCTCGTCGTCCTGATCAAGTTATTAAGTATATGCTTTGAGGGGCTGATGTTGCCAGTTTCTGCCTGTCACATGCATGTGCACATAATCGTTATGCCCTTTTTGCTCACTCTCAATAGTTTCGGGGCATAACAATAATAACAACAACTAGGCAACAGTTGTCTGCAAAATGCGAACTGAAAACTTTCAGCTGCCGCAGGGGCTGGCAGTCGGGTTGAGAACAGAGCAGAGAACATTATGTTCATAGGTTTGGGGCAGCACGAGCGTTAATGCATGACAAGAATGAACTCGACGCTCGTTTTAACAATGCAGCCCGTCCGCCCGACAGTGGCAGGCAGGCAGCCGGGCAGCCGTGTAGCCGGACAGCCGGGCTGTCGGGCAGGCAGCTTCTGGGCTGTCAGGTAGTCTAATGGCCATGACCGTGACATGACCAACTGCACACGTGGCAGTGCTGGGGCTTAATGCAATTGCAGTCTTGCGCGTGTGTGCATGTGTCTCTGTGTGTGGGTGTGTTCCATTTGCAGTTGCAACCACAGCGACCTGAACGCACTCAACACTTGATTGAATTAGATGGTAGCAGCAGCAGAAGCATCGATGCTGTCGAGGTCTTTGAAATAACTCAATTTGTTGTGACAGGATGCGCAGGATAACCGAGCACTTCCTGTCTGCCCGCTGGCAATAACAATAACAACAACAACAACAACAACAACAATAAAGAGTTTGATGCGAGAGTGGCCAGCGATACCAATTGATTTAGCGCACTTTATGCAAACATTTTGCCATCGAACTTTTCCTGAAATAGTATCTGTAACAGCTCTTTCACAGCTCCTGACCTTGGCCATTGGCTAAACCTTCAGAAAATTCAATTAATACCTTCCCGCCGGCCGCCGCAAAGGCGTACAACAGTTCAGGTTTACTGCCGTTAAGTGCCTTTTAATGAAAAGTTCCTGGTTGCGTATAAATTGGTGTGAGAATAAATTGATTTATGGCCGCCGGACGTCGGCAGGAATTAGATACTTTCGCTATGCCAACATTGCAGAGGGTTTGCATAGCTGCTCTGAGCTAAAAGGTAAATAAAAATACTTTCAGATCCACCCAGAATCGGTATCAATAACAAGAAACTACACTTAAGCTGAATTGTTTGAGCTAACAAGCCGGATAGCGGGCACAAGGTTGCCCATTTACAAAGAAGCTGCCAATTAAACATTATACTATATTTATACTAACAAGAAATACCAAACGTTAGAAATATTTATCGCAATAAATGTTATTTTTGGAATATCTTAATAATACTCATAAACTTAAAGTATCTACATAAATCGGATGTGACACGGTTATCTTTTCCAACCCAATTCAAAACCAAACCTCCTTTAAAAAAAAAAAAAACAGAAGCGGAGGTCGCCGGTTCGAAGCCAGTTGCGAATATCAATTTTTACAAGTGTTTGTTTAATTTTCTCTTAATTACAAGTTAAAATGTCAACAAAAAGTACTCTTTTTCCTTGTATGTAATAAATAGACTATAGCATTGCGCCTAAACTATAGAACCCCGCCTATAAAGCAACCAGAGAGTGTGGCCTATGCATACATTTTTAAGACTTTATATTATTATGGCAAATAAATTGATGTGCTTAATCCTAATTAATCCAAAATAAGAATCATAGTTTCAAAAAGTAAATAGTTTATCACGAAAACGCAAAAGAAAAAAATTGCATATTATAAAACTATATATTCGACTGATTGTTCCTATAAAAGCAATAAACGGAGAAAGTATCTTTTCAAGGAGTGTAAATTGAATCTACTTTCTACTTAAATATTTCATATCTGCACAAGTTAAGCGTGAAATATTGACATTGGAGATCATATATTAATCATAAGATATGGCATGTCGTATCAGCACGAAAACCCTAAATAATGTTACCAAAACAAGCCAAAGAATCAACATCCTTAGAAAGGTTTATTTCCGGCCGTTTGTTTTTTTTTGCCAAGTCTTATGAAATATTAGTCTGATGTGATATGTTTGTGCAGATTTATTAGGAGAATAGTTGAGCTTGTCATTGCTAAGAGTTTTTAAGATACTTTTGATAATGCGTTGAACTGATTTATGGCATACGGACAACGACAGCAATTAGATACTATCGCTTTGAAAAAGGTGTTTGCATCGTTATTCCGAGCCAAGTTTCTTTAAGATACTTACAAAACAGAAAAACAAAAAATTTTTCATGCCAAAGCTAATGAACGACTATTTCTATAAGACCCTAATAATAATGTTATCTGATTTTGATTTTGCCTATGTGTGAGGACCAAGCTTCAAAGCTTGGAGCTTAGTCTGGCCAACTTTGATACAGCTTACACCTGTAGTAGGCCGAATTCGTTTGCATTAACAGACCCGACTCGAACAAGTATATATGTTTATAGTTAATCGGATTACACTTGTAATGATAAAATTCGAATACCCTATACAAGGCAGATGACAAGTTGCTGAATGTGAGCTGAAATCAGTTTCCATGACCATGAAAATGAGGAGCAGAAGCAACAGATTGATTGCAAATATGCAAACGCTACTCCGTTTCGAGCTATGTACTTAGTATATAGAATTAGATATGGCATAGTCTAGTATATACTAGTATCTAATAACTAAGTATTGTTATCTTTGCATAAGCTTCGTTGACAAGGGTACAAATATAAATGCATAGATCCATTAACACAAGTGATTCGACACGCCGCGCGAATCGCGACTCTCTATTCAGCTGATTTCTTGTTGTTGTTGTTGTTGTTGTTGTTGTTGTTATTGTTGCTGCTGCTTATCAGTAAAGAGTCAGCGACAGAAATGAGCTGTATCTATCAGGCACAGATATACACATGCACACAACATTACAAAACTGTGCATGTGTGTGCGTGTGTGGAATTTCGCGCTTTATTGTCTGCTTGTTGTGCATGCACTAACTGTTCATTGTTGTTATTGTTATTGTTGTTGTTGTCGACTATTGTCTGATTTGCGTATTGCCAACTCTTTTGCCTTTTTGCAATTAACAAGTCATAAATAAAAATGTTGACATATTTGATAAGCCACAAAACTACAGGCCGAAACCTGTCAACAAAAACAGTTCACAGTATGGCCCGCCCCCAAATGGTTAACAGTGCCTGACCACCCGTTCCACCCGTTGCTCCCCCCTTTCCAACATATGCCGTTCTTTCGCACTCTCTCTTGCGCCCACTCTTTAGTCTCCCGCTGTACCACACACCCCCCCTCCCCCCCCTCGCTTTCTATCTATACCTTTGCTCGGCGCAATTCGCATTGCATTTATTGTTGGTTTTTTGGTATCGATTTCGCCGCTGGTGGCGACGGCGCCCAGCGGTGTCGATAGCGACAATGGCGACACCCATTGGCGTCGACGTCGACGTCGACGTCGACGACGGCAGCGCTGCCGTTCGTGTCATTGTTTGGGCAACACATACGCAACGGAAACGAAATACAAAACGCAAAATGGCATTCAAAAGAAATGTAAAAAATTAAACGAAAAAAAAAAAAAATTTGGAAAAAAAAAAACAAACAAATAACCGCCGAGAAATTGAGACAAGCGCGCATTGTTGTTTCTCTTGCTGCTGTTGTTGTTGGAAAAATCTTAGCACAACATTTGCTCATGAGTAGCTGTTGCTTTGAGTCGTCGTGGTTGTTTTTGTTGTTGTGGCTTTTGTTGCTGTTGTGCTTAGCTCAAAATTGATTGAAAACACTTGAACTTTATGATCCAATAAATACATAGACTTCAAGGCCTCTGCAATTATTTAAAAAAAAAAAAGAAAAAAATTTCCAAATGACCCCACCCACCACCCAACCCCCAACCGCAAGCCGGCACGACTCGTTCCATGTTATCAACAAAAGCAATTACAATTCGTACCCGATGATATCGATAAGTGAGTTTCGAACTCGAATTCGAAGCATAAATTTAAATGCACACACACACACACACGCTCACACTTCGAAACTCACTGGGCTCAAGCTTTATTATATTATGTTGTGATGCGAAATCTACGCGCTCCACTCACTCGCCATCGGCAACTAAACTAAAATACAACCCAAAGTCCATGCGACTAAACTGAAATATATATAAAAAAAAAAAGAAAAAAAAAAAAAAATTCACTTTGTATGCATGTATGAAATTCATATTAAGCTCGCGACAGCAGCAGCAGCAACAGCAGCAGCAGCAACAGCGGCAGCGGCAACGAGACAGGCTGGGCTAATTGAAAAGAGCCCCCAGCTATTGAGTGGGCAACCGTCGAACAACCTACCGTCAAGCCACCGACGACCCATCGACCCACCCAACCACCGAACGACCACAGAACTGAACGCTCTTTCTTTTATTTTATAAGCAATTGTGCCACGCGCATAGCGCAAAAATATTTCATTGTACACATAACAACAAAACACACTGTAAATGGATGCGAAGCAATGGGAGACGATGGTTATGGAATATACATATACATCTATGTATACACATATGTATATGTATTTTGCCCCAATACAAGTAGTTGGATTTGCTGTATACGCAACACGAAACTAGCTGATTCGATTGTGAACTAAATCAAAGTGAGCAACAGGAGCTGGGATATTTGAGCAGGGGGGGGGGGGGGGGGGGGGAGGGGGATGACACAGTTGGGATTTGGTCGAACACGCGTCGATATCGCCCCATAACACCCACATCTGGCTGACCAGATATTCGCATGCCACACTCCCCGCCTTTCGCGGGAACGCAACTCCACTGTTTGGGTGTCAGTGTCAGTGTCAGCGAATGTCCGTTCACAACATTGAATGTGCACAGTGTCCAAAAGGCGATCGACTTTGGCTGAATTCAAGGCCAAGGCTGTGCTTGGGCACGACAATATAGAAAAGCATTTATGGTTGGCATATCAAAAAATTAACAACAAGTTGGGATTATAGCTTGTAATCGATCCAATAGATCTTCTTTTAGATATTAGATATTAGGATTCAATTTTGTAGTCTCTGATTTATGCCAGAAAAATCCTGTTATTTAATATTTAAATATCACTTTGCACGGGAATAGTTATAAGAAAATTGGGAAAATCAGAAATTGGCACATACAAAGATAAACGAAATCGTAATAAAAAGAAAAATCGGATAAAGTATTGGCATATTAAAAGATAAACAAAATGTTAAGATAATATTTCATCACATTTAGTCTTTCAAGAATATTATTTTAATTTGTGCGACAAATTTAAAAAGGAAGCTCAAAATATCTTCTATTCCATGCATACTTAAGAAACAAGATACTTTTTTCTATATAGCATATAGCATAGCACTGATAATAGCAATCTGTACCACGGTTCCTGCATTATGTGTGGGTGGGGCGTGTGTATTCCATTTTCACCATCAAGGTCGCAATCATCTATCAATCATGTTAGTCAAATTCGAATGCACGCAAAGTTAAGCCCAATAGGATGAAAGGTCAAGCAGTATTAAGTCCAGTACTGTGTATTAAGGCAGCAAACCGATTTGAAGCCGATGCTCAAAATATTTATTCACCATGAACGAAATTTGATGAAACAAAGTTTTGGGTTCACAGATTAGTAAAATCAGAGCCGAACATTGAGGCCTGTTTCGTTTGATCCGTAAACCGAGCTATAGAGAACGTTTATCTACATATCATTCTATCTCTTTTGCAATACATATTTATCTTAAGATACATCTGCGCCAGCTAGTGTATCTGTAGCTATGTAGAAGATGATTACGGACTTGTGATCTGCCTGAGAGCCAACACATAATACAATAACAGGCCTTGCATTGGCTCAAGTAGCCAATATAATAATTTATATATAAGTTGTATATATACATATGTATATCATGCTCATCTTCATTCCCATGGTGACCATTATCTCAAGCCCTCAGACTTGGATAAGTCTCAATCTTAATCTCAAGCTCATCTTCAGTTGCCATCTAGTACACATCTCAATCTCAATTTCAATCTCTGTCGCAATAGGTGGGGCGATTCGCCAGCTTTGAGTGCTCAGCTGTGGGCGTGGCCAGTTGCACAACACACACGGGCGGGATCCCTGCGGACATGCGAGGAGGCGTCCAGCTCATGGTTGCACAGGGCGGGCGAATGAATTGAATTGTCATTCAATGCGGTTGAATTTCATTTTCATTTTTATTTTTATATTTTGTGCGCGTGTGTGCATATATGTCTCTCTCTCTCCCTCTCTCTCTGTGTGTGTGTGTCTGTTCAATTAAATTTGTCTTAATCATATAACAATGGCGCGTTAACAAATATTCGTATACATTTGCTTTTGTTGTTGTATAATTTACACTCCGCTTGTGCACTCCCACACCCACGCATACATACATACCACACACACACACACACACACATGTATACACATACATCATATCGTTACAGTACATCCCGACCCGTCGTAAGCAGCGGACTGATGGGAGCACGGGATTTATTCGGTCGGAATGAGTTCCTCCTGCGGACGTCAAAAACTTTAGCGATTCTTTTTCTGATTTGGCACACACAACGCATGACCTTCAGCCCATTGGCTGGCTGTTCCCTGGAAGCAATCCGAACGAACAAACATCCGACTGCCCGAAACATCATGTCGGATTAACAGTTGACCACATATCTTAATACCCAGACAGGTAAGACTTTTATTTTGGCAGATCCTGCATCGAAGTGGCAAATGATTCCTTCCGGTTGGCCTTCAAGTACACTCAAGAAACCGACCGACTGGTACCATTTTCTTGCAACAGACCAAAGCCCATAAAACAGCCGGAGTAGCTGCATGAAAGAATTTTTAATGGTCTACTGACGCTTTCCTGTACCAAGCCATCTTCATGACTTCGCCCAGGCTAGGAAAAACTGCCTTCGAACCGGACGCGTCCACCAGAGGCCAAAGATGATACCCAAATTCCAAGTTTAACATCTTACTCGGGTCGTTGCGATGAACGGTCAGGCCGACAGACATGGTCCAGATTGTGTTTTGCCTTTTTAATGTGCCCCATATACATAGAAAGTCAATTGAAGAAGTAAGTAAACATTTGAAATATCTATTTAAGTGGGTGGTGCCTCAACTTATCTACGCGAAAGTTTTTCGCAACAAGTTGCCAGCACGTAATTAGAAACGATAACCGGTAAAAAATAAATTATAAATAGAAAAAACAAAAAAAAAAAAAAAAAAAAAAAATACGAAACAAACAGAAAAAACAAAGAATCCAAATTCGACACGGCATCCGTAACACGTGCCACACAGTTAACATGGAATCATCCACTCAGCTGAAACTTCAGATGATATTCAAGAGCTCTCGACGCGAACATTTCTTCATTTAGGTGCTTGGTATGCAGCTCACGGCTAATGTGAGCAATGCAAAACAAATAGAGACAATTGCCATTGCCAAATTTATCACTGAATATTTCAAGCGATACCCAAAACTAAGAATTCTTCAATTCATGCATTAGGTTAACTTATCGATAAATGCACTAGTCGTTTTTTTTTTTTCTTTAAACAAAATTCAAGGCAATCAGTAATATTATAACATATATTTTATATAAGAACAAGAGTGCTTCGGGGGGTAATGCCGACTGTGAGATATCTGTGTATGTATGCCGCAAGGCCGTCGAGCTATGCGTTTGTGATTGAAATTCAGTATTGTATCACACGGCTTTAACCTAAAGTCAATTTTTCGACAATGGAGGAAGATAAGGAACATGGTGTATTATTTTTTATCTGCATCTACTCTTCAAGAACCTAAAGACCAAGTTTGGTGTATATAGCTCTTATAGATCTCGAGTGATGCTTAGATTACCATAAAACCATTAAATGTATCTTTTCGTTATCATTCAAGTTTCTTTCACAAAAACCGAATAAGTTAATGCTCTTATGTCAGCACAGAGGCATATTAATCAACCAAACTTGTAAAAAATCTCTCGACAGCAATTAGATGGTTTGTGGTTGCTTAAAAAATAACTCTATTTTCAGGCAATCGCACTTTAAACATATTCCATATGCTATTTATCAGATTCCACGCAATCTTCAACGAACTTCAACCAGCTCAATATACTCGTGTTGTTTGTGCAAATGACCTACAACGAACTGTGGCCGATATATGTATGAATCAGTAATTTTGTTTTGCTACTTTCTAAAGAAAACTATTTATTACTTTTTACAGTTCAATTGCAGTGTCTACGTTGGCGCACAAATTTCGCATTCCAGAGTTTGGGTCATATCTCTAGAGGATTGTCTGCCCTATGCATAAACATGCGCACATACACACAAACAAACACACACGCACAAACGCACACACACACACACACAAAGAGTGAAAACAGGAAGCTCGCCCAGTAGCCAATGGCCAATGGCATTTTTATGCATGTGTTTATTTTTGTTGAAATGCATTCGTCGTCATTGCTAAATCAAGACGCAGTCAAAAAGTCAACACACAAAATATAATGATAAAAAAAAAAATATATATATATATATATATATATGACACGAACCAAGCGGCGCGATCAATCGATTTCGATGCTTTATCCCGTCGAGGCAACCATTAAGATCCCGAAATGCGCTGTGAGCAGTAAAACAACTAAGAGATCTCTGGTCGAGAGTAGATAAACCCGACTTGAGGATAAGCTGAGCCCAACGTCGTTAATGCAGCGACTGTGCTTGATCTTCCCTTTGTCCCAGACAATGAATGGGAAATGCATTTATGATTAACTTGGTTGTTTGTTGTCCAAACTTTGTGCAACTTTTAGGATATGAATTTTGCATCCTAGCTTGTGTACATACCAAAGACGAGCATGTATCTCCATATGGATCTAGATCTAAACGAGTCTTTAGTGTCGCTATAAGCATTATTCTATATACTCAAAAAAAATCGAAAAATACTCAAATTATCGAAATGTATATTAGAATCATTTTTGTGAGGCTGTCTCCTATCTAATACAGTTAAGAGAAAAATTGTAAATACAAACGATGTAATGAGACGTTCTCAAAAAAAATTGAAAAAATTAAAAAACAAAATATAACACCCCATTGTAATAAGGACTGTTGATTGACAACAAATTGAAAAAAACGCACACTGTACTAAATGTCAAAGAGAACTGAATTTTGGGAAGCCAAAAGTGTTAACTAACATATTAAAACAAGTATCGAATAGTTAATTGATAGATAAAGACAGATTATACTGCTAATGAAAACATCAATATGTTGATATTTGCAATGCGTTCTGCTAAAATGATTATGGTGGATAAGTATGAGTTCATAAATACATTTCATTCAACGCAACAATGACCAAAATGCTTTGGCAATACAAATGGGGGAAAAATTAAAATTATGATGAAATCACCATGGTAGTCGGTAGTCGGAGACCGACGCGATGGACACATTTATCTGCTGTATGTGGTGTTCTACAATTTAATAGGCTGTCGTCGGTCCAAGCATGGACTACTCATCATCATCATCATCAACATCATTATTAAGCGCCTACATAGATGTATGCATATGTATATGTATGTATCGTACAAATTAATGACAGTGAAAAGTCTGGCGAAAAATGCGCAAAACATATATTATGCCAAATGCGAAAAACTTTGCCCTGGACATTTGCTATGAAGCCCCAGTCTCAGTCCCAGTCCCAGTCACAGAGGAAGATGAGTAAGTTGGGGGGCAAATGAGCAAACACCCTGTTTACAAAGTTCACTTTACAATTGTTTTTAATTATTTTTGTCGCCATTGTGGAGCTTAGTTAATGCTATTTAGAGCATGCACTTAATTTATTGTTATACGACATTTATAACATTTTCCGAGTTACATGTTATTCGATTACGAATCGCATCTTTCTGTCTGGCATTGAATTTTGTTGTGCTTTCAAATTGTATTTGTTTGTGTCTTGAATGAAAGTGAAATAATGTACAATTTGCATATGCATACGAGCACACACACACACACACAGACAGGTGCTCATTGGAAGGAGGGTAGCTAAAGGTAGGTAGTCTCTTGATGTCACCATAAATCAAATGCCATACAGTGTGATCAAGTTCATTGGAATCGCGACGGCGCCAAAGGCTGTTGGCCAGTAAACTGTCAATTTGTTTCGCTGAATGAGTGTATATATGCGAGCTTGTGTGTGTGTGTGTGTGTAAGTGCGAATTAATATTTATGAAACATCCGACACATGTATGCACGTCTATTAGCATTGGCAGTGGTACACAACAGCGTAAATACCTGGTTTGCAAATTTCTTTTTCAGTTGCTGCTTCAAGAAATTGGCTAAGCCCAATAAAGAAAAGTAGCTAAAAATAGCTGATAAACTTTATGAGCAAATTGGCAAGAGGCAAAATTTACTTGCGATTGGGATGCCAAAAAATAGCTACATTTGCCTAAAATTCCAACTGTTTCCGGCTGACGACAACTAAAAATAGCTACATTTTGTTTAAGATGCCAAAAAAATAGCCAAGTTTGCTTACAATTTTAAACGTTTCCGGTTGACAACATCTAAAAATAGTTGCATTTGCATCATATTCACAAAAAATACCTTAATTTTATTTGATTTTCAACTGTTTGCGGCTGACGGCCGATGTAACTGGCCAAATTCAGCTAGAAAATAGCTGAATTGAAAACACTTGTGATAAAATTAATCGCGTACATTACACTGCTAACGTTTATTAACCGGCTTTGAGCGGCCTCGTGAGAAATTTCAAAATTTCCGCGTCTAAAATAAATTATGTCGAAGATTTTTCAACATAATGTTACAGCTAGCTTTCAAGTTGAATAATTAATTAGTTAATAAGTCCAAGAAAATATATATTTTAAATATAATGGCTTATATTCCTATATCAACTATAGTATATCCTTTTTGTTATTTGTTAAGTTCCAACAAAATTCGTAATATTCTGATCATATCATGTCTCTGTAATGTCAAGTCTTTATAGTAATATATCAATCAATATGTTTGATAGTGATTTATGTTTGTTGACTTCTTATAGATATACGAATACTGTAGCTGGCTTTTCTGTCAATTTGCTTAGTTTCGATTTCCCTACTGCGTTTATTTATGAATAGCCCCAACTGTTTTCTTAGTGCCCTACGCTTTTTTAATTCGAAACAAACAAAACCTATCCAGCTGGCAAAAGTAAATCTGTAAAAGTAAAACCAAAATTTTCCATATTTAGCAAAATTTATACGTTTCATTAGAGCCAGGTAACAGACACGCCGAACTCAAATTAGTTTTTCTGCATTAAGAAATTGTTGCATTCGGCTTTCTTCAGCAAATTCCTATAGATAATATGGCCAAGTCATGGATTAAGGTGCGCAACTGTGTGGTGGCTTTATACAACGATCGCTTCTGCTGGAGCTTTTTCAAGAGCTATTTCCTCTTTCTGCTGGCGGTGCGATGTGCGAAGACTATACGGGCCTAATACAGTACACAGATAGACATTTTGGGCAGTCGATTGGATTTGCCCCACTGTGGCATTTGGCAACGGTCGCTGGCCTGTCTAATTGCACTAAACACTGTCATTTTTGCTGCGCTTGGCGAAAGAGAAACGCCAGTGGGCAGAGAGCAGAGTCGTCACAACCTGCCGACTGGCGTCTGATAAGATTAACAGCCGTTTCTGTCGCTGCTCGTCCACCCAATCCCCGCTGGCAACCACATCCCGAGTTTTTGGCTTTGGCAACAGCACACACAGACGCAGACACAGACACAGAAACGGACGCGGACACGGGCACACACATACACACACACACACACACACACACAAAGCCACACACATGACGTCAATGGCCCAGGTGAGTTGAAATAGTTTACACTTACCGCATGAAGCTGCTCGACAACAGCTGCTGATGATGATGTTGCTGGTAAAGATGCTGCTGCTGCTGGTGCTGCTGATGCTGACGCAGGCCATGGGCCATGTCACCGAAGTCGATGCTACTGCTGCCGCCTGAGAGCGCCGGATGGCGTTGCGGATGCGGATGCTGCTGCTGTAGCTGCAACTGTTGTTGGTGGTGGTGGTGGCTATTGTTGCCGGGGAGTCCACTGCCGCTGGCATTGCTTGTTATGCTGCCGGACCGACTGCCGCCATGCAGCGGTTGTGGCGGCTGGGCTGGCGATACAGAGGACACAGACGAAGACGAATTATTGACAACAGCGGGATATGAGATCAACTGTTGCTGTGGAAACGTCGACTTGATGGCAGCCCCATTTGCCAGCAGCGCCGGCGAATGTGAGGCGTGGGCGCCTGCCAAAGGCGGCGGCGGTTGCGGCGCCTGTGCGGACATCGTTAGGCGATTCGATTCCGGCGTGTGGGCAATGCTCGTGTAATGCTGCAACGAAACCAGATCAAATAATGTGACAACCGTTTCAAAGGATATTCTAATTTAGATAATACCAAATATTAACAATACATAAGTATATTTCCTAAGCTCTTTTCCTTTCTTCTTTTTTTATTTCTTTACATTATTTTGTTATTTTTTTTTTGGACACACTCACCATCTGCAGCACATCGCACTCCTTGGGCACAACGTGCAGCGTTAGCACCGCTGGCGTCTGCTTGATCATCGAGACAATTGTGCTGTAGGCAATGCCAGCGATCGGCGTGTTGTTCACCATTAGCACCCGGTCGCCCGTCTGTAGATTGGCGTAGTGAGCCGGTCCGTTCGCTTGCACCTCTTTGATGAAAATGGTCTCCATCGCTTTCACTTGGTATGGCGGCAGCGACGTTGGTGACGTTGGCTCCAAGCCGACGACACCGCCGCTGCCGCCGCCAACGTTGCCGCCGCCGACAGCGTTTGTCGCTTCCTACACAAAACGTAAAAAGCAAAAACACAAAAACGTGAAACGGCAACAACAACAATAAAAAACAAAACAAGTAAGCCTGCTCTAGTCTAGAGTAACCGACTAGCAGATACCCTGTTTGCGCAGCGTTCAGCTGTTTCTTTATATAACATATCCACATGATATGCATATCCCAGATTTGCTTCTTCATTTCTTAGCGCTACACATCTGGTAAATGCGTTCTTGAATCAATTCGCGCTTATTGTCCGATCGTTTTGAATTTTACAAGAATTTATTATCGCATTGAACACATTTTCATGTACCAAAGTGCATTTTAATTTTGCGCAGAACGCGAAAAGTCAAATATTCTACACCTGTGGGAACCCTTTGTAAGTCTACAAACTAAATTAGGTTTCCTAAAAGATCTTGTTACCAAATCAATATTTATCGTTATAAAAATGGGAAGATACTTTTTAAAATTAAAGTCCCAGCTCTTATTTTTGTCCATCAGAAAGTATATTCACCCATAAATTATGTGCCGGAAGATGCTTCCTTCTGTCTATTTCAGATATTTGCACAACACAACTATTATACCCTTGCGCAGCCATTACAAACGATCACAGGGTATATTTAGTGGCAAATAGGAGAGCGGCTCAGTGAGCGTAAGGCCTCAAAGAGAGAATAAGAGCAGGAGAGAGAGAGAGAGAGAGCGCAACGAGCATATAATAAAAGTAATGTGAGCAACAAAATTGCAAAAAAAAAAAAAAAAAAATCAAGTCAAAGAGGTGAGCACAAGAGAGACAGGCAGAACGTTGGCGAACGCAACACGACGAATTTGGTATGCTCTTCAAATTGTTCGAAACTAAATTGAATTTGTTTCGCGAAGTTTTACTTGCAGTTAAGCTTATGCTTTTGGACTAATATAAGAGCTATGGAAAATATAACTTAACTCTTATTATTGTAGGCTATTGAACGAAATCGAATCCCATATTCTACACATTCTATATTCTATATTCGAGAATGGCATTCATATTTTATGTTAGAAGAAATGAAAAATTCAGTATTGAGGTTTATGTTATAATTGTATTTTAAAAGAGTACAAACTATCTATCGAAATTCCCCGGCCATATTTTTCTATTTACTTTGGAAAAACCCATCAATGCAAAATAGATTTCTTTCAATAATTTCTTATCAGAACTGAGAATAGCTCACGAATTTATCATGGAAGATTTAGGTATATTTTGCAAATTCCTTTGTGGCGCATATGCATAAAAACGGCCACAACTAATCTCTGATATATATATGTATATATTATATACATTTTGATTGTGTCTGCTATGAAACCAAAGTTTATTCATATTATCAATTGTTTATTTATAGCGCCCGTTGCAAACTCTTTGAAGCATGCGATATACTTCAGCTACCCTGGCATGGGCAAAAAGAAAGCAGCGGCGCGCATTTGAATAAGCGGCGCGTGCGTTGCGCTCACGTAACGGCAGGCAGCGACTGCGCGATTGTGACTATGGCAGAGACTTGCCAGACCGCCAAAAAAAAATATGAAAAAAAAAAGCAAAAGTGGCAAGGCAATCCGATGACTAATTGGAGATGCAGGCACTAGGCTATGCTCGGCTGCTGGCCTGGCGCGCATGCGCATTGCTCTTGGCTCTCTTACTCTCTCGCTCTCTGCCATGCTCTCTCCACTATGCGAACTTGCACGCTCTCCAAGCTTGAGAGATCGCCCTGAGATCGTCAGGCTGTGACGCTTACCTGAGGCCAGCTGGCGGCATCATCTTCCGGTGGATAGGCAATAAAGTGACGCAGCGTAAAACCGAAGCCCTGATTCGGACGCCTCCGTATGACAACCAGCTTTGGCTGTATCGATGACGCGGCTATTGCTGCATTGTTTGCTGCCGCTGCCGCAGCGGCTGCTGTGCTGGGCGTCGCTGCCTGCGCTGCTGCTGCCTGCGCTGCCGCTGCCACCGCTGCTACTGCATTCGAGTTTTGTAACATTTTCGGTTGGGTTTTCTGCGTCAACGCCTGTTTGGAGCTGCGGCCGCTGCTGCTGCTGCTGCTGGGCTCTCTTTTTCTTCCTGGCTAGGAGTTGCTGTGGAGCTGAAGATGTTGCTGCTGGCTAATGTCTAGTTGGGCAACCTGCTATTGGCGGCTGCTTCTGCTGCTTCGCTAGTTACGTGTTGCACCCTCATTTGTTTGGGGATACGTTGCGCTCAGCACCGAGCAAAAAAGTTGTCCACTTGTTGTTGTTTTTATCGTTGCTGTTGTTGTTGTTGTTGTTGCTATTGTTGTTTGTTGGTCTGGTTGAAATCAAAATTGTGTGGCCCGATCTTGGGGCGTCAGGACGCCCATGGTAAAGCTCCACGGGAGCATAGCACTAATCTTTTAATGTTCCTATTGCATTGGTTCTTTTAATACTGCAACCTAGAAGTAATAATTGGCTATTATTAATATTTTCTTATTGCTATTACTGTTATTATAGGTAGGTTATATTTTTATTTGATCTTTTAAAAAAATGTGAAATAATTCCTTAAGAAGAAGCGTCCAGTTAAGAGTGGTGGAACCGTATATATCCAAAAACGACACACCAAGAAAATTATATTTATATATATATTAGAAGTGGAACCAATCTTAAATAAAATACTCATACCTAACTGACAAATTATATTAAGGAAGACAAAAGATCATTGCATTGGTCGGAAATAGCCGAAGAACAGAGTTTGGAAAGCACAAAATCAGTTCAAATTATCAGTAAAAAAGTGAAGTATATTTATGAGCATGAAAATCGTATGGAATGGCGATATCAAGGATTATAATAATCTCTGAGTTATTAGGAAAGATTAGTTCTTCTGTCTGTTGAATATATTTAAACAATTTTATATAATTTTGTTTATAAACTTTCCAAACTTAATTGTGAGCCCATGAAAATCGCATAGAAAGGCGATATAAAGAACTACAATAATCTCTCAGTGATTAGAATATATGTAAGGACTATCTCTACTTATACTTCTTGTGCCTGTGAAGTATGAATGTTGAATAAGATTCATTTAACCTTTTTTTACAAGTTTAGAAAATAAATAAGATCTTAATAAGGTTATCTCAAAGATTTCCTTACACTTACATACATAAGTCTTACATCCAAATTCTTGTTTTGAAGTATATATGCAAAAGGGTATTAACCCAAGTTAGCCACAGATTTTAATTTGTTGTTTCTTCTTCTTTTTTTTATTGGCAGTTGGCCTTTTTCTGTTGTTTTATTATCGCACAACCTCTGCATGTTGCCTGCCCGTACTTTCCAATAGATGGTACTCAGAGACCCTCAGGCATAACTACTCTAGACTCTCAATGTACAGTTATTTAAGTGCTTTTTACTATAAAAGCCCAAAAGCTTAAAGACCAAAAATATTTTACGGCTTTAATTACAATCGTCGTAAACAAAACAAAAAAAATAATAACAACTAAGCACGTCGTACGCGGGCATCATCAACAGTGCAATACACTGTAAATACCGCTTAAAGCAACTGTAAGGGGTCGTCTGGACCAAGGTTGTAGTTTACAAGTTTGAGAAGGGAACTCTTGCAAAAATAAAAGTTTGCGACTTTTGAATGCGGGTCGTGGCTTGACTGGAATATTTTAAAAGATCTTAAGTAGTCTACCAGCAACATTTTAGGACCCCAACTTAACAAATGTGTGACACTTAGATTTTTGCGGTTAGCCCGCCCCCTAATGGGTGTGGTTCACACAATTTTAACACCTTGTCTGACGCACATATATGTACATATGTTCCGAGTTTGCAGTCTATCTAGTGACAGTTGCGGTCGGACGCACTTTGCACAGAACTAATATACTCGTTTTTACTTTGTGTGTGGAAGAAAGCAAAACGAATAATGTGTGAACATTGACCGTTAAAGTGTTGGCAGTTGAAAAGTGTAACACGCCCAGTCCAAGCTTCAAGCTGTTGCTGACGGGAAGGGTCGGAGTTTTTGACGTAAGAATTGTAATTAACATAACTTTATTTTTTATTCGTGCTTTGAACTATATTTAAATTTAACAGTTAGCTTGGGGGCAACGAATGCAATAAGATTTTTCAACTCAGAACTTAATTAATTCAATAATTTATACTTGGAATTTATTTTGGTTATTATGAAAACAGATTTTCGTTTTAAGGCAATTTTCTAAAGGTGAGCAGAAGACTACCTTATATAGAGTGTAGGGCAGCTGAAAGTTGGGCATGCGTTTATAAGGCATATCCTTGAATATGTTGCCAACATTTGGATATTCTTTCAGCAATATTAACACACATTGACGAACAGCTTGGCTCGGTTCTAGGTCATTTCTTTGCCTTGACAGAGTAATTATACCCTTTCACAAGTATATTTATGGTTTTATTATTATTATTATTATTATTATTATTTTGGTTTTTATTATTTTCCTTTCTTCAAGGTAAACCTGTGTGACCCACCGACTTGGCGCCTTGTCATGGGGCTGTACCAAACTGTCGAGTTGGATTGCCATTAGCAGAGGAATGGACGGTAGGGGCGGAGGGGTTGTGCATGACACAAAGGCAGAGCTGTTAAGCTCTAAAATGCACAAACACATGTATTCCTTGCATGTTTTTGTTTTTTCGATGAGATAATTTGACCGATCAACGCCCCTATTTTATAGCAATTGTATCGCATGTGTGTGTGTGTGTGTCTTTTATTGATTTTATCGTAAAGCGTGGTAATTAAACAACAATTGCGACAACAATGACAATTCGTGAATTAATACACGTGTAATTACAAACCGACAACAAACGAAAAATAAAAATCAAACAAATCGCTCAGATACTGGGCTATAATTGTTCCATTGTTACAGCAAAATCGCGTACAACGTTTATACAATAATTCAGTGTTAATTGTAGCCGATTTAACAATGAAAACAACTGATGAAAAGAGCTCAAGTGTGTCAGCAGCCGATTCACGTTGCATACCATATTTAAATCTATATATCTTATCTGTGCGTGCTACTGTTTCAGATATAGTACATAAATGTCAATTGATATTTGACTCGTTGTGTAACTTGAAATCTATCGCTGATTATTTCAATCGATAACTATTCTTATTATCGATGCACGAGCTCGATTTCACAAAGCTTTTGCATTTCACGCGTTTCGCGTTTCGGATTCGGGCATTCGCAATTGTTAAATAAGTGATAAAAAGAATAAATTATATTTAAAATGTGTCTTAAAATACATATTGCAGAATTCTTTTTTGAATATAAAGTTTTAAACGCAACATGTTTTATCGCTATTTTCTAGCTATTTCGCAAACTTGCAGGTGGAATAACCCAACACGACTTCTGACATTCGTTAGTTCAGTTTGTCAAAATGGTACATCCTAAAAAAGATAGTTGGAGCAATCAATTGATGTACTTGAAGCTTTTCCAATAAAACCAACTGTGAAGAGAGTAAATCACGTCGATATCGAACCGCAAAAGATGGACTTAACTCCTCAATTTCTACCAATATCGTTTCGAAAAAGAAACGAGTAAGCCGAGAACAACTCTAGTTCGAAAAGTATTCACATATAGATTGAATCGCACAGTTTAATGCTACATTGATTTGCCTATATTCGCACGATCGGATCGTTCGCTCGATATCATCCAGGTCTGACGAACCGTTATTCAATGGGTAAATAAACAAGGCAAAGAAAGAAAACACGGGCCAGGCGAGGCAACAATATACGTATCGCTTGCGAGCTTTATTGACTATACTTAAGTTCTCTGTTGTTGTTTTTTTTTTTGTATTTGTTCTGTTCTTTTTTGTGTCTGCTTCTTCCGTATGCTTGTGATAACAATTAAATTGATTGTTTTGCACTACGAATCGAAAATCGAGTGGAAAATGAACCGAAAGGCAAAAGCGCTTGGCCCCAAAGACCCACAGAGAAAATGTGTGTAATGAGCGAACAAACGGTAAAAGTATCAAAGTATCCAACTGGAGACCAATCCCAACCCCCTACTCCCGCCCTACCCCCCTCCACACACAACAATGGACAACGCACACATTACATCAATCACAGCGTCGAGGGGGCGGTGATCAGTCAAGAAAATAAAAAAACCTTAAACCCAAAATAACAAACAAATTGGTCAGTAATAAAATGAAATGTACGTAAATTATCCGAATCATGCAGAAGAACTGGGAAACTGATGAGCACAACGAAACAGTTATGCACCCCGCCCCGCCTTAACTGACTCTTCATTCTGATTAATAATGATTCTTGAGCGAATCCAAAAGATAGTTGCGTGTTACAATTGATTTGGAATAGTTGTTAATCAGAATGGATAGAAACTTAGCCAGATCGATTTTACTGCACTTTATTACAATATTATTATTACTCTTACCGAAGTTAGCAAATTCTATTTTTAAGATGCGAAACATAAAGACTCAGTTCCAACTAGAGTGCATTCAGATCGAAAGCTCAATGTGTGAGGTGCCCGGGCGATAAGCGCATCCTTGACTCTGTACTAGATTAACTGTAATCTGGGCTGTCAGACCTTAAATGTGGCGCCCCTAGTAATATTGTTTGCTCGTTATTCTGGCCATTAATTTATGGCATACCATTTCGTTTCCATTTCGAATATTTACAGGGGCACTTATCATAACGCGATTACGATGACACGACGAATCTATATATATATATACATATATGTATATACTTTCTATATGTGCATATATATTAATGATAATGTCCAAATCAATAGGACAAGTGCACGTTCAATCACAATTTTAAACTTAAATCAAAACAAAACAAAAAACGCACAATGAAATTATCATCTGTATCTTGTATCTTCCGCCGTATAAGCTGTTTTGGTTCTTTGTTTATAGCGTTCTCAGAATGGAAACAGTATTGAATAAAAGAAAGAACATATGTGATATGTACTACGGAAAGTTCGTTGTAAGTATTAATCAGATCTGGATCTCAAGAAAGCCCAGACACGAACTAGCTTAGGAACTTGCAATAAATGTTCTATTTATTTGAATAGAGTGCTCGACTGTTGGATGCCCTGTACTCCGTGCTTACTTCTCTTAAAGACGCCGAATAATAGAATATGTTTATCGTCCGATCTTCATAAAATTTGTTTAGGGCTCAAACATGATATCCAACTGCTGCAACAGACTTCTGTTCAAAACGTTTATACCCGCTCTGAATTCATATTAGTGTATGAGAAGGCAGTTGTGCTATGTTGTGATATGCAAGGATTTCCATAAATCGATTCGATAAATATTGAACATAATGTTCTTTTGCTAGCCCCAATCGCAATCTACAGGAGCGGATGGTGTCTTCATCTGCTCGTACGTTTAACTGATCATAATACAAGTACGAATAGATCGAAATTGTTATTGCCGCCTTGGCACATGGTAAATTAAACACACATTATTGAAA